ATGCAAACTTCACCAAGTCGGGATTAACAGAAATGAGCAACCGCTAACAAGGACATTACTACGGTTATACGGAGGCCAGAAAAAACCCCTTTGGGGAAAAAACATGACAGGAAATCTGGGTAAGAACCATGCCCCAAACTCAGTGCAGTTGGCAGCCCGTCCTACGAGGCTTCACAGTTAAAGAAAATATTTTTTTAAACTAAAATAAATTTGTCATCAGCCAGAGGTGGACGGTTGGTTCTGAGGCCTAGATGGACACCACGTGCTATACTCCCCCTTCTATAGCACTGCATCATTACCCATGATGCTCGGGCCTAGGGCCCAGGCCTTGTCGTATCTCGTGCCCACAAAATCTTTATTTCTGCCTTATTTTTTATTACTAAAAACAAGTCCATGCGCTTTTAGCCCATTTAAGCATTGCCCGGGCGTCGGTGGTATAGTGGTGAGCATAGCTGCCCTCCAAGCAGTTGACCCGGGTTCGATTCCCGGCCGACGCAGCCATTTTGTCCATAGTGCAAACATTTATGAACAATTTTCGTTTAACTTTGGTTTGTCCCTGTTAAATGTAACACGACTGTGCGACTCTTTACTTCCTCCTTGAATGCATGAACATAAGAAAGGCTGGCTTGAGAATGCTATTTTCTTTAGTGAGCTATTCCATCATTTTAGCAATCCTGCTGGCTGATCAAGAGTTGTTACATATTATTTTTTTCATTTTAATTCGTTGTCAATGCTTCGTCGATATTCAACGCCACAGAATTTCGAACGTTTTCACCGCTCCGCTCAACGACGATTTCATATTTCAACCTCAGGATTTGCGTCTTCACGATGACAACATTACAAACGTTTCTCCTTTAGCCACAGAGCAACCTGTAGTCGCGTCGGTGGTATAGTGGTAAGCATAGCTGCCTTCCAAGCAGTTGACCCGGGTTCGATTCCCGACCGACGCAATTAGGCTAATTCAACTCTTTTTAAAATGCTTCATGAACGACTAACTAATCTATTTTTACAGTAAGCTGAACTATATACGCATTTGATTGGTTGTTCCTTATGATCTAATGGAGGACAGAAGTTTAGATGACATCACCTTAAAATTTACTTTTCCATCTCATAAAATAAGTATATTCCATTTCAGCGCGTTGCTGATCAATACACTACTTGTTCACAGAAGACGTCAAAATATGGTGGAATATTCTGACACACTCGGCTGCGCCTTTTTTGCCAATTTTTCTTCCAATCACATTTTGTCGTTATCTCAGTTGATCTGTTCCTGAACAGGCGCATGGGAACATGGAATCTGCTTACTGTGTAAATTTTATTGTGGCATCAATAACAAAGAAATGAAAAATAAGACAGAGAAGCTGAGTTTTTATTTCGTTAGGAAATGAAAAAGACTAGGTCAAGTGATTGGAAACCTTAATCGGTAACCTTGCATTAGAAGCTGGCGTTTCTAAAAATTGTCGAATTCGTTTCATTTCATAGGACCAAAAAGAAAACTTCTGGCTCTTGTTACTGCAGTTGAACCTCGGTAACTCGAATTGCCAAGGGAAATTGAAATACTTCGAGTTATCGGGGTTTCGAGTTATAGGGGTTTTAAACAAAAATACCAGAAACACCTGATTAAAGAGGTTTTGTGTTTATACATGTTTTATTTATTTACCTAGCATAACAGCGACAAAACAAAAGCATGAAAACTACGAGTAAATGAGATTAAATGTAATCTTCGGTGCAAGATGTTATGACTCATTGGTCCCCAAAAAGTGAAAATCTACTTCGAATTATCGAGGGTAAAATTACAAAGAAAAGTACCTAAAGGGAAGTAAAAATCGCTTCGAGTTAACGGGGTTTCGAGCTAAAGAGGTTACAATTACAGTAAATGTATGGGGCAAATCAAAGGGAAATCATTTTTGCTTCGAGTTACCGAGGGTTCGAGTAATCGGGGTTCAACTGTATATGAATTCCTTTTATAAGAACATATGCAGCTTCCAGGTTTTACCGTCCACCCCATTCTGTTCAACTCTGTTGTTGCATTTGCTGGTTAAAATGTAAAAGGACAAGGTCCCACCGAGACTTGAACTCGGATCGCTGGATTCAGAGTCCAGAGTGCTAACCATTACACCATGAGACCTACGTGGGAGCCAGGAGAGAGAAATATAAGGTGAATGCAAATGAAAATTTTCTAGCTTCGATTCTTAATTTAACTTTAGAAAAGAAGTAGAAACGGAATGAGAAAAACATCAAGTCAAGCTAAATGTTGTCTTAATATGGCACAGAACTGAACAAAGTTTTTTCAATGATTAAGGGTTTAAGTTCCGTAGCTGCTATTCTGGTTCGTCGGTCGTTGCAGCTTAAGTGCAAATCATTTACTCCTGATGTTTCCTCTGTTTTGAAATTCTGGCATTTGTTCAGCTATTCAAATGATTCTACATTTCATTCTGAAGATCAGATTCTAGTAAGACGTAAATTGTACAAGGGAAAAGTACAGCTTCGCTCGAATCGTATTTAATCAAAGGAGAGAGAGGTTTATACTCCTTCTCTAGATTGATTTTGCATTCACACAATAAACAGACTCACCTTGTTTCTTTTTAGTGACGGCAAAACGGGGCTCTTAACAAAATTTGGTGCGAGGACTACTCAGTCAAGGAGCTAAATACTTCCCTTTGGCTATAGCAGAGAAGCATTCATGTCATAACCAAATTACAGAATAAAGTGAGGTTTGTGAAGAGCATGTCCTTTACTATTCACCGTAATGTTACCTTGGATTAGGAATTCTTGAGCCCTGGAAACTACACAGGCGTCTTTGGTTGACATGACTGTTATGAGGCACAAAAAAACTCAAACTTTACACAAAGAAGTGTCATTTTTTTTCTCAGTTATTCTGAAACTAAAGATAAGTCCTTCTACTTTTAGCCCAAAACACTGTATCGATTTTCCGTTGTTTCTTCAAATAGGGTGTCCAATCGAGACTTACTCAAGCGTCGGTGGTATAGTGGTGAGCATAGCTGCCTTCCAAGCAGCTGACCCGGGTTCGATTCCCGGCCGACGCAGTTATCACAGTTTTGTCCTTAATACAAACATCTGTGAACAATTTTTATTTAACTTTGGTTTGCCATTGTTATGTTATTTTCCTTAATGAGATGTTCTATCATTTCAGGAATCATGCTGGCTGACCAAGAGTTGTTATATTATGATTTTTCCATTTTGATTTTTCCATTTTGATTCGCTTTCAATGCCTCGTCGATATTCAACACCACTGAATTTCGAACGTTTTTTACTACGCGAGATCTGGGTGCGAACATGACGGAGCTTTAAAAATGCCAACATGCAAATCAAACATGGCAGCCCGATGTGATCGCGCGATTGTTATCTGAAAAGGTGTGTTAAAACAGTTTAACAAGATACAGTTTTAATGTGATGGAATCTAGGATTTTTTCAGCAACAGCACCCGTAATATTCATAGGACTTCTACGCCTGATAAAGAGGTCAACCGGAAAGAAAACACCGTAAGAAGATTGTCAAAAGGCGAGAGATTCGAAAGTTTACGCACATTGAGATACAGATCTTGACTAACTTCTTTCCATTACATGATGTTTTGCGATAAAGAAAATAGGGATCTTTCGAGCATGATTTATCGCGTTTCCTTCGGTGGAATTTCCTAAGATTTGCTGGACCATTAAACATATTTGTGCCCTTCTTAGTGCCTGTTGATAGAAAAAATTCGTAAGACCAAATTTGAGTTAGAGGAAGAAAACACAAAATCGTACATAGCGAGGATACTGCTTTTGCAATCCCCTATTTTTTCGGCTTTAAAGGATCGGCAGGACAAATTTTAAAAATTGTGAAAATTTGAGAGATTTCACTGAAGCAAAATGAAGAAAATCAAAGGAAAAGCCAAATTATCGCTGGCGAGCGCCTCCTTTCGTGGAGCCTTAGCTTAATAACGAAAATCATTTTGATAATATTTACAACAGCAAAAAATGGTCCGAACCTTGCTCATCGCCTTTTTATGGCTTTTTGTGACCTTGAAAAGCGAAAACAAAAATTCTCCAGCAAAACATGTATATTCTTAGATGTCTTAAGAATACACATGATTTAGATATTTTTGACTTTGTATCGTTTCGCTCTTGTAACAAGTCCCTGAGAAATTTTGATTATTGAACACTCGATGTCCCCTTTAAATCGAACAGAAACTTTGAAGAATTCATTTTTTACTCGGATTTATCGCCCATGGAACGAACTACCTCTCAACATTAGGGATTCTAACACCTAGCTAGTATATCGCGAGAAATTGTTTCATTATTTTTATGATAAGTTCAGTGCCAATTTTTTATCGTAATTATCTTATTTCTGTTATTAGTTTAGATTAATTTTTTCTATCTTTTGTAAATAGTCGTAGACACTGACTTTTTTAACTAAGTAAATATTTAAGGCGGCTTATTTTAAAGAATCTTGTATTCTGTTTTAAAT